ATATAATATAATATAATATGGTGAAATTTCATTGCATTCTGCTTTTATTCATATTTTACCCAGCACTGTCAAAATTGGAGTTGCCCATTTTCTTGTCAGTATGTGAGTGTTTAAATGAAGCCTGCTGTGAGCATGCCCCATCAATTATATCCACAAACATAAGGATGAAAATATAGCGGGGCTGTGTCACCCATTTAGTGTGCAAATGACCTCTTATCTGATGAAAACTGATCCGACTGAACAGCAGTGGGCCTGACCTCCTGACCTCACGCACACCAACACCCAAAACTTTGATGTACTACACAGGCTGGCCGAGCTCAGTTTAAAACAGAGCAAGATGCACGCAGTGCCTTTCAGTTTGGAATTATARGCAAAAAAATACTAAAAAATAAATYGGCYTCTCTTCAAGGAAAGCATWATGTCCACAGCCTTTTTGTATTTTAAATTTTTACGTAAAATATCTCAGACAATCTGTTAGCACTCAGCGTATGTGATAGAGCGCCTTCTCAGCCGCTACTACACCAAATTTTTGTCTAATATCTGTAAAAGTGACAGAATTTCATGTACAGTGCCCTGAGACAACGTATGTTGTGACTTGGCGCTATATAAATAAACTGAATTGAAAKCGAATAGAATTGTAGCTTCTTTTATGCTTGCTAAGTTGTGGTAGCCACCTTGAAACAAGTTGACCGTATAAAGCACATGRATCAAACTCAAGGTTCTCGGGCCAAATGAGGTCCGCCACAGCATTTTATGTGGCCCGCGAGAGCTTCAAATGTCTTGAAATAAGCGTATGCTGCTTAAAAGCCAGCATTAACCATGAACTACATCTTCCATAATGCATGTGGATTATTTTATTCAGAAAATGACAGCATCCCACCACTGTGCACAGGGTTCAAACATAGCTGGCAGCCGACAAAATTCACCATGTAAAATCTCCATTTCACTGGAACATCCCTCCAGTGGGAATTCAGAAAGTCAGAAAGTGCGAGTGTCCAGAATTCAAGACGGCAGCTACTTACAAGTAATCAATTTTTTAAACAGTGTTTCTGTATTATTTATTTCACATTTAGTCAGTCAGACCTGTAGAACTTTTAAGTGTTTATYAGATGATGTGTCAAAACACAGTTTCTATGCACAAAATACCACATAGAGCTTAATTATTGTTTGCTAGTGGTGCTCAGCCAGCTTTGTGTTTAGTTGAAGTTAATGCATTACGGTGGCCCTTTGAGGCCACCGTAATGCTCTTGCGGTGAAAATGAGACACTCCTGCCATAAAATTATCTGCGCATCAACTGATTACTTTGAGTTTTATTAAAATCAAATAAGTGGTCGATGAGATATTTTGTTAACAAACATACACACATGCAGACACAGTTACGTGATCACCCACTTTTTACAACCGTGTACGACTAAAACAAACAAAAAATATCATAAACTTAAAAATATGTATGAGAAATTTAGCTTAAAAATAAAYTTCTGTGCAACTAAACTCAGATTCCATTTCAGGTTACGGAGCTGTTACCGACGCAAACTGGTAAACAACCTTTGTGCACCTTATTTAGCATCAACTTTTAAACAAATACAAAATGAGGAGAAACACAACCCAAACGCGCGTCCCTTTGCACTGGATACAAACAGTCCCCACATGATTCCTATTACTGCAGGCATCATAAACGTGTTCAAGTGTAAGTAATGTCTGTACGGCAAGCATGCTATGTGTGTGTGTGTGTGTGTGTGTGTGCGTGTGTGTGTGTGCAGGGGGAGAAGGAGGGTGATAATTGCAAACACCTGAAGCTTGTAAGCAGAGCTGTTCTCAGTGACAGTTTGCCTAACACTTAACGACTGCTGCTCATGTTGTATCTGTGAGGATTAAAGTGTCAGAAGGCTCCTCGCGTCAAACTCTGCGATCCGATACTATTTATAGATCCGTCTCTGCTGTAAAAAGTACATTTTTATTACAGTCACAAGTCTGAACGGAGCGAGCAACATCCTCATCATGGTCCTAAATGCCGCCCCCTGTCGGCGCCATCGTCTCGGCGCAGGGTGAAAGCCGAGCCCCCTGATGTGGAGGGCATAGCTTTCATGGCAGAGATGCCCCTCATGCTGCGTGGCAGAGCGGCTCTCGCTCACAGACAGGCAGAAATACCTCGTTCTGTGATCCTGGTGCTTTTAGCAGGATCCAGTTTCAAGTGCTGAGAGTTGGTGCTAAAGGAGAGAGGAGGGTCTCTTCTTACTGCTGCAACGTCGGCCCCCCCTCAAAGGCTGATGGTGAGGACAGAACCCCCCCACC